GCATGGCCGCGGGAGCCCCCGCGCCAGCAGCTGTGGGCTCCCCGTTCCCCGCCTCGCAAGAGAGACTGCCCGAAAACTTCTTGGGCGCTTTGTCTAAGTCCAACCTCTGCGGAGAGGGGTCAGCGCCGGGGAGGTGGCTGGCGCTCCCGCCGCCGTCGCCTCGCGCACTCTCCAGCGGGTAGAAGTGCGCGCCGGGCAGGTTCACAGAGCTCACCAAGAGTTGTTCCCCTAACTGCATGCTTTGCAAAGCTCAGACGACAGCTGGCTGCTTCCTCTCCTCCAGTGGCCTTATTATAAAGGCAGGATGGGGGAGCCAGCGCCCTCTTCCGAGGGGAAGGTAACTTCCCCTTCCTCCCGCGCCCAGGCTACCCACCTGCGGGCTCGCGGGCAGCCGCAGCGCGCACTCGCGCACCCTGAAGCCAGCGTCCTTTCGCAAGGAAAGCGAGCTGAGTTTTTAGGCAGGAAGTGGAAACTGACCGAGAAACACTCCACCTTTCCTTCTCCGTCTCTCTTGTCGGTCTGGACTCCCACGCTCACACCCAGGGAAAAGAGGATTTAAGATCCTTGTTCCCATCCACCCACTAGCCCGCGCCTTTCTACCCAATATCTATCACCAAACCATCGGTCTAGTTGACCGCTTGGAAACTTGTGGGCTGTCACTGGCTGCTTTATATACGTGCGGCCAGGAAGGGGTTTCAAAGTCCCACAGCTCGGGGGCCCTCCTATTGGCTGATAGAGGTGACACTAATTCAATTAGGCATTTACTAATTGGATCAAGTCGCCTGTGAGTTTCTTTTCCTTTAGCCTGTTTTTCTTTCCTTTTTAAAAAGACTGTCCTGCTGTGAGAATCCATCTTGGGAGTTTAGAGGCACGAGTTTGAGGGCTCCGTAGCGGGGGTCCCCTTTGGCACAGGAGACATCCCAGCGCTCTGCGTGGGCGATGCAGGAGCAGGTATTAGATGCCAGAGGGAGAAAAATCCCTGCTTGCTGGCTGCTTGCAGGAAGGCGCGTTTCCACAAGGCTGTGGAAAGGGACGAGTCAGAGGGAGACTCAAGGAAAGTCTCTCCTGCCAGAGCTGTAATTTCACAGACACACCTTTCTCCTTACGGAGGACTCGTGCGCCTTCAACACACAGGAAACTCTTCTTGTTGGGTCCCATTTTTTTACCCAGTGGAGGGAAGTCTTGCTCTCAGCTTTTCCGGGACCCTGAGCACACGCCACCATCCCGAGGACCTGAACTCTCAGCGCCTGAATTAGAAGCCCTAGTGAGCTGAGGTACTGGGGACCAAACAAGAGTGAAACTAAACGAGCCAGCCTTTTAACCCCACACCCTCGCCGGCAACCCGGCTTTGTGGAGCAATCACTTTGCCTGCACATGATTCAATTTCCAGGGTATCTAGTTTTCTTGAACCCTGGATATTTCCCACCCCCACTCCCCGGCTCCAACACCATCTTCCGTGGAGGCTGACACTGAGAAACAAAGGTTCCCTAGCAGCCGCGTGGCTGAGATTCCCTGAGCTTTTCCTCCGGCACAACACAGAAGGTAGAATAATTAGTGAAATAATCAGTTTGATATTGAATTAAGCTCCTTTGCCCCAGCTGCCTGCTTCTTCACCGCGTTTCCGCAAACAGAGTCAAGAACCACGCGGTCCTCTTTTATTGTTTTATTGTTACAGAAGGGGTGGGGCACGTTTCCTTGCGGTTGAGGAGTAGCCTGAATATTCGCTGTTAATAAGCAATTACGGACGCCGCCAGTAATCGCTCCGGGAGCGCATTTTACGGCTGAGATGTCGGGACTCTGCTTCCCCAACCGAATGCGATCACACGGGAAACGTTTCGCTTACAACAGATGAGGCAGCCGAAAGATTTGTTGAGCGCTCACACGCCAGTGTAGAGCAACACGAAGCTTTTCCAACCCCGGTTCAAAGCGCAGCAGCACCAACTTTCCGCACGTGCGGGTGTGGGTTAGAGAACCGGGCGGGCGTTAGTGCACTGGACGCGGCCAGGCACTGATCTCCGTGTTTGGGGGTGATGGAGAACACCGTAGTCGCCCTGGAAGGTTTTCCGGGTCAAGGAACAGCCTGAGGTCAAAGGGGCGAGTTAAGAAGTGTGGGCCGGGGCGACAGCTGCGCAAGTTTTAGGCCAGAGAAGCCGGAAGCAGAGTGCGGGAAAGCTGGCACCACGCGCGCTCAGCCCTGCGCTCTTGCGTTTCGCCCCAACGTTCAGTCCACCTCTGCGTGGCTGTCCGCTCAGATCACTGTACTGCCCACGCCTATCCTCCTCGCCTCGTTTTGACCTGGGAAGTATTGAGGGCTGGTTTTTCAAACAGTATAGCGCTTTTCACACACTTCATGATTTTCACCGTGAAGATTCCGCGATGGCACCCGAGCTGAGCACAAGGAATGGAAGGGGCTGAGCGGCGTTGGCGACGTAGCCATGGGCTAGCGGGTGCTGGTTACAAGTCGAGGGCTCTTTCACCTTAGCCTTGACCTGAGCTTCAGGGTGTTTGAGGGAAAGAAATAGGTGTGAGGCCTCATCTCATGTCCCTTGGAAACAGGGTGGCCAAGGGTACGTGTCAGTTTTGCGCTTTAACGCAGCGAGAAGCAGGCCTCGGTGTCCCTTCAAAATGCTTTCTAAGAGGCCGGGGAAACGCTGCGCGAATGGCAAAGTGCCATTGCAGGCAACAGGCATCGTTCCGACCCACTCTGGCGCAAATAACGCGGGCCAGCTGTCCCCCGCGCCACATCAGAAAGGGCTGATTCTATTCCGCCCCCAGAGCAAGCCTATGAAAGCCCATGGGTCCATTCGAGTGCCACCGAATTATTAAATATGTGCACGGTGTGTATTATCGGGTTGTATTGATTCTCAGGGTGGCGAATTGCAGTTTGCATTTCCCATCTCCCCAATAAATCTATTATTTTACCCAAAGTCTAAAACATTTTACAAATGGAGACGCAAAGACAAATTCAAAGAGATTCAAAATACAGTTTCAACAAAACTATCCTCCGATGCAGGATTTTTAGAAAATGGAGATTGTGCAAGAATATTATATTACATCTCTAAGTATATATATCAGAAATTCCTCTTTAAAATAGTGAAAAAGCAGTTTCAAATACAGATATTGCTCCTAGCTGTAAAGAGACAAATAAAAACTCATTCAATGGCTCTGTATTAAATAATAATAATTATTATTTGTATTGCATATAGTATGGACCTAGAGACTTTTAGATGAGTAAATCTGTGGTTACCTATGTGGAATGGTCTTTTCTTTTGCTAGCCCAGTAATGTTTGTAACTAGAGAAAGGGACATAAAAAATGTCTTCCTGTGTCCCAGACACACTTTAAAATTCAAACACTCTTTTCCAGAAGTGGGAACAGAAAAGAATGCTAAAGCAGAGGCTTCCGCAAACTTGTGAGGCTGCACCCTACTTAGACTTGGCAAATAACAGAACCTTTCTAGCCTGTTCACTGTTTGATTTCAGTTACACCCCAAGGTTCATGAAATCCAAATGAGACATTTATTGAAAAGTGCCTGGTTTTATGTGGCTCAACTGACAGTGTATTGGAATACACGGAACAAAAACATCAACACTGGGGAGGAGATGCCGGCTGGATTAACTCCAACCTTTTACCTTTCTGCCTGAGATGGAGCAAGTAGGAACCTTGGAGGGCAGCAAGGGAGCCAGGGCCAAGGCTGAGTGCGAGCACCTCGGAGAGCTCAAGCTCTGTCGTCCTCAGCAGTGATAGCAGCTTCGTTCCCCTGGCTCATTTTGGTAACGTAAGCTTATCACCAACTTGACCAGCTGACCTTTTTCTTTCTCTTCCTTAAAAGTGACCACAATCAATGCATGGGTCTTGTAAACCCCAAATTGAGAAGTATTTGCTTGTAGCAAATACACACATGTATGAAGAAATCGCAGAGGTGAGTGACGGATGAGTGCAGTGACATATGGTTTACCTCCCATCCACCCCTACTCCAACTTCCCACACAAGCAAGGGGGCCCATATAAATGTCTCAATAAATTCTATTATTTTCACCCCCTCTAAAAACGTGTTATCCAAACATGGTCCGTGTTATTCAAACACTTTGTAAATTCTGAACAGACTTGCTGCCAGTTCTCCTTTTAACCCTAGGAAAACATTCCAACATTCACCGGTCACCAGTGCTTCGCCTGGACTCTGGGAAAAAGTCAATGGGTTTTTTTGTGGCAAGTTGGTCCTTTTGCTATTTATCTGTGGCCCTTTCTTTGTTGATGTTACATTTTATTTCACCATCTTGGGTTTGCTCTTTGGCCCCTTGTTCTCTGAGAGCCACATCTGCCACCTTGGCTATGCTTTCCTTAAGGAGGGGAGCTTTTATCATGGCAAGGTTGTTCACATTTCTTTCTATTAAAGAAAATTTCAGGTAGGATAAAACATTTTGGCAAGAACAAGTAGTTTTGAATCTGCTGACACCAGCAATATCTTACCAACACCATCTCACTTTTATAAGAATTTGTAGAACTTAAATTTCACTGTGACACTGAAACAGGCTGGTCACTTGCTTAAAAAGTAAAAATCACAGGACCCTACAAATGTGACAGGCAAAGGATTATGCTAAACTCACTGTATTTTATTAAACAAAATCAACTAATTTAACCTATTGTCTTAGTTATTGGTCCATATAGTTAGATTGTTGAGTATGAATGAAGGGGAAATCCTGAAATCAAACTTAATAAACATACTAAATATTGCTGATTCCAAAATAAATGATCTTTTCCTAAACATGAAGTCAAGACTCTTTGGCAGTGGCCCACAATCTTGATTTACCTTTTTAAAGAATATATATATGTGTGTGTGTGTGTGTGTGTGTGTGTGTGTGTGTGTGTGTGTGTGTATATATATAT